ACAGCCAGACGGACAGACACACTCCCACAGATAGACAGACACACTCCCACGAACAGAGAGACGGAAACACTCCCATGGACAGACAGACGGACACGTTCCCAGGGTCAGTCAGACTGTCATGAAGAACAGACAGACACATTCCCCGAAGGAAAGGCAGACAGACACACTCCCAAGAACAGATGGACACACTCCACGGGCACAGGCAGACACACACACACGCACAGGCAGACACACAGACAGGCAGACACACACACACACAGGCAGACACACACACAGACAGGCAGGCACACAGATAGGTAGACACACACAAGCATGCACACACACACAGACAGGCAGACACACACAGACAGGCAGACACACACAGACAGGCAGACACACACACAGACAAGCAGATACACACACAGACAAGCAGATACACACAGACAGGCAGACACACACCCGCAGACAGGCAGACACACACACACAGACAGGCAGATACACACACACACGCACACAGGCAGACAAACACGCACACAGACAGACACACACACACGCACACAGGCAGACACACACACACGCACCCAAAAGGCGGACACACACACACCCACACAGACAGACGCACACACACAGACAGGCAGACGCACACACAGAGGCAGACACACACACACAGGCAGATACACACACACAGGCAGACGCACACACAGAGGCAGACACACACACACTGGCAGACACACACACACAGGCAGGCAGACACACACGCACACAGGCAGGCAGACACACGCACACACACAAGCAGGCAGATACATGCACACGCACAGGCAGACACACACAGACAGGCACACACACACACACACAGGCAGACAAGCACACACACACACACACACAGACACACAGACAGGCAGACACACACAGACAGGCACACACACACAGGCAGATACACACACACAGGCAGACACACACAGACAGGCAGACACACACAGACAGGCAGACACACACAGACAGGCAGACACACACACAGGCAGACACACACACAGGCAGACACACACACAGACAGGCAGATACACACACCCACGCACACAGGCAGACACACACGCACACAGACAGACAGACAGACATGCACACAGACAGACACACACACACGCACCCAAAAGGCAGACACACACACACCCACACAGACAGACGCACACACACAGACAGGCAGATGCACACACAGAGGCAGACACACACACACACTGGCAGACACACACACACAGGCAGGCAGGCAGACACACACACACACACACACACACACACAGACAGGCAGACACACACACACAGACAAGGCAGACACACACGTACACAGACAGACACGCACAAAGACAGACACACACACAGGCAGACACACGCACACAAGCAGGCAGACACACACATAGACAAGCAGACACACACACACAGACAGGCAGACGCACACACACAGACAGGCAGACGCACACACACAGACAGGCAGACACACTCACGCAGACAGGCAGACACACTCACGCAGAGAGGCAGACACACTCACACACACAGGCAGACACACACACAGACAGGCAGACACACACACAGACAGGCAGACACAGACATTCAGACACACACACGCACACAGGCAGACACACACACAGACAGGCACACACACACACGCAGACAGGCAGACACACACACACACAGGCAGGCAGACACACTCACACACACAGACAGGCACACACACACAGGCAGACACACACACAGGCAGACACACACACAGACAAGCAGATACACACAGACAGGCAGACACACACCCGCAGACAGGCAGACACACACGCACAGACAGGCAGATACACACACACACGCACACAGGCAGACACACACGCACACAGACAGACAGACATGCACACAGGCAGACACACACACACGCACCCAAAAGGCAGACACACACACACCCACACAGACAGACGCACACACACAGACAGGCAGACGCACACACAGGCAGGCAGACACACACACACACACAGACAGGCAGACACACGCACACACAGACAAGGCAGACACACACGTACACAGACAGACACGCACACAGACAGACACACACACAGGCAGACGCACGCACACAAGCAGGCAGACACACACATAGACAAGCAGACACACACACACAGACAGGCAGACGCACACACACAGACAGGCAGACGCACACACACAGACAGGCAGACACACACACACAGACAGGCAGACACACTCACGCAGACAGGCAGACACACTCACGCAGAGAGGCAGACACACTCACACACACAGGCAGACACACAAACAGACAGGCAGACACACACACAGACAGGCAGACACAGACATTCAGACACACACACGCACACAGGCAGACACACACACAGACAGGCACACACACACACGCAGACAGGCAGACACACAGACTGGCAGACACACACACACTCCAACAGACACGCACACACTCCAACAGCCACAGACACGCACACTCCAACAAACACACACACACACACACCAACAGACACACACACTCAAAACTCACATACAAACAGACAGAGACACACACTCAAACAGACAGACACACACTCAAACAGACACACACACACACACAGACAAACAAGACAGAGACACACTGAAACAGGCATACACACACTCAAACAGACACACAGACAGATGAGAGAAAGACATACACATTCACCCAGAGACACTCATAATCACACACACATAGAAGAGACACAAACAGGCACACTCACGAACACAGATAGAGCGAGAGAGAGACACACACACAGACATTCAACAGCGGAGCCTCTGAGTGAAGCCCATTTCTCGCTTGTGTGTCCCCACATTTGACAGCCCGCAGGCCAGAAACTACATTTTTCAGCAGGTTTGTAGTGAAGATTGTTTGTGACGGATTCCACGAAAAAATGTGTGGCCACACTTTTCTATGGCCAGCTAATAAGGCATTGACAGGAAAATTTCAAAAATAAATTACTAATAGTTAGCAAAGCAGTAATATAATTTTCAAACAAACAAAATTAATAAATATAATATCCTTGCTTTTGAAATAGCATCTGATCATATCATTTGAAACATCTCAAATCGCTTAACAGGATTTACTGTAAAGTATAGTGACTATTAGGTTGGTTGGCGGCAGCCAATTTTGCATAGGAATATGCATCAAATTTTAATGCATCTGTTTAGTGTTAATCCAGAGTAGGGTGGCAGGCCTCAAAACATTTTCCATTGTAACAATTCCTATGGTGGTAAAACCATAAAGTTCTTTTTCACCACATTGAAAGATCTTTTTAATTCTCCTCCTTGAGATGACTTGTCTCATCTTCAGAGGAATTTGGTTCAAGATGGCACGAAAAAGACAATTTTTTTAAAAAAGGATTCAGCCTGTAGTTTGCTACCAATGTTTGGATATCTTTTGCTCTTATTTATTATCATCACACTTTAAGAAGGATCTAAATGGTGGGTGCAGCGGAGATTTACCAGAATGGTACCAGAGATGAATGACTAGTTATGTGGAGAGGCTGGGATTGTTCTCCTTAGAGCAGAGAAGGTTGAAGGGCGATTTAATTGAGGTGTTCAAAATTATGAGGGGTTTTGATAAGAGTAGATAAGGAGAAACTGATTCCACTGTCAGGTGGGTCGGTAACCAGGGGACAGAGAATTCAAGATAATTGGCAAAAGAACCAGAGGGGTTCAGGAGACATTTTTTTCACACAGAGAGTTGTTACGGTCTGGAATGCACTGCATAAAATGTTGGTGAAAACAGATTCAATAACAGCTTTCAAAAGGGAATTGGATAGGTACTTGAAGAGAAAAATATTGCAAGGATATGGGAAAAGAGCGGGAGAGTGGAATAATTGGGTAGGTCTTCCAAAGAGCAGGCACGATGGGCCAAATGGCCTCCTCTGTGCTGCAATATTCTATGATTCTATTTGTTTGTTGTAAAGCATTTTCATGTGGTAAAATACCCGTCTGAATGCTATTATGCCCATTACTGTCTACTTCAATTAGCTACAGGAATGAGTGGAATTTCCTAAAAAGTTTTTTTTCAAGCATTTGGAGGCAAGTCTCCAAGGACTGACAATCAATTGAATTAATCACATAACCTACATTGTGTAACATATATGCTAGGATGATTTTTGTTTGCTTACATTTAAACATATAACAATACTTTTGTGTATGGGATCTCTTTTGCAGTAATATAGTATTATGAAAGCATTCAATTGTTCTGCTTGTTTGTGAGAAGTAAATTTAATTGCTTAATTTTTTTATATTTACTATGATTATCATCCTGGACGGGACATATAGAGTGACATTCAGCCGGATTCTGCAGATGAAATTAATGACTTGGATCCATTTCTATCAACTTCAAGAAAATCACAGATGGAGCGTGGTGGAGGGGCTGCTAAAAAGGAAAATGTCTGTCAGGTATGTTGTGAGAAGTTACAGTTCTATGTATTCCATTGAAAAACTTACACTGAATAAAGTTATTTGTTGCTAATTATATTATTATTATTAATTGGATAGTTGAACCTTTCCCAATTAAAATTCAAATGCTTGCTTTTTACCTCATAGTCTCTTACTGGCCAGCATATATAATGTTTTATAACCTGCCCCTTTTCCTCTGTTCTAAAGTTGTGTGAGAAACCTGGGGAGCTGCTTCTCTGTGAGGGGCAGTGTTGTGGGGCCTTCCATTTAAAGTGCCTAGGTTTAACCAAGATGCCTGAAGGAAAGTTCAATTGCAGTGAATGTACTACAGGTAAGATCAGAATAGACATCCTAAAACTTAAATATATAAGAACTTTAAAAGTTCCAAGACGTAATGTTCTCTTTATATATCATTTTAAATGCTACAATAATTCAACAACAACTTGCATTTATTTATACAATGCCCTTCACTCAGGGTAGGGTGGAAAAAGATGGTTGAGAGCTTGAAAGAGGGTAGGGGGATACAAGAGGAGAGGGAGGTCAGGAAGTGGTCAGAGACGGCCTTGTCTGTGATGAACAGATTGGAGATGTTAAAGTCACGGGCTGGGCCAATAGAAAAGTGCGGTCACAATTTTTCCACGGAAACCTGCTCTAAACAGCGGCCTCCGCTATAAACCGCAAAAAAATGAAGTTTCTGGCGCCCGGGCCTCTGCGGTGTTTACCCGACGTCACTGTGGGCGGAGCTACTGTGGGCGGAGTGGCTTGAGCGGTGCAGCACGACAGACCTGTGAGAGACCAGGAAGCCAATACTAACAACTTCAGTGAAAGATGAGGAGCGGGGAGTGGACCTGCGAGAGACAGCCCTCAAACAGGGCCGCCGGCGAGGTGCTGCCGCGGACCGAGAATGACCCGAAGCAACTGTCGGTGGAGCAGCTCCAAACCCGCATGCGCAGTGCAGTTCAAGCGGGAAAGGGGATTCGCTCCACTCAAAGGCCCAGATATTGAGATTGTCTGTGTGTCTCTCGCTGTGTGTTTGTGAGTGTCTATGTGAGTGTGTCTCTCTCCTCTGTGTATGTGTTTGTGAGTGTGTCTGTGTGTGTCTCTTCCATTTGTGTGTTTCTGAGTGTGTGTGAATGTGTATGTGTGTGTCTCCTCTGTGTGTGTGTGTGTCTCTAAGAATGTGTGTGTCTTTCTCTGTCTGAGTTTGTGTGTGTGTCTCTCTCTGTCTGTGGGTCTTTTTCTGTGAGTGTGGGTGTGTCGCCAGACTACGGCACTACCTCACCCCTCACTCTGCTGAAACTCTGGTCCACGCCTTTATCACCTCAAGGCTGGACTATGGGAACTCTCTCCTCGTCGGCCTTCCCGGCCCTCCCTCCACACTGCAGGTCATTCAGAACTCTGCAGCTCGTGTACTGTCCCGCACCAGACTTCGGGACCACATCACTCCCACCCTCGCTCCCCTCCACTGGCTCCCCATCCCCCAGAGGATCGAATTCAAGGTCCTCATCCTCACCTACAAGGCCATTCACGGCCTTGCTCCCTCCTACCTCTCCGACCTACTATCCCCCTACCTACTTGCCTGTACCCTCCGTTCCTCTGGCTCCGGTCTGCTCCACATCCCCCGCCCCAACTGCCCTACCATCGGTGGCCGGGCCTTCAGCCTCTCAGCCCCGAGGCTCTGGAACTCCATCCCCCAGTGCCTTCGCCGCCTCCTCCCTTTCCTCCTTCAACGCCGGTCTCAAGACCTTTCCCTTTGACAGTGCCTTCAGCTCCCCTCTCGACTCTCTACCCCCTCCTCGCTCCCTCCCTCCCCTCACCCTGACCATTTCCCCGCTGCTCGGGTCCTGACCCAACTGTACAGCGCCTTGGGACGTCCTCCCGACGTGAAAGGGGCTCTATAAATGGAATCTTCTTGTTGTTGTCGTTTCTGTGTCTGTGGGTGTGTGTGTCTCTGTCTCTGAGTGTTTGTGTGTGTGTCTCTGTCTGTGATTGTGTCTCTATCTGTGAGTGTGTGTGTCTCCTCTCTGTGTCTGAGTGCGCATGTCTCGCTCTCTCTGTCTGTGCACGCATGTCTCGCCTCTGTATGTGTGTTTCTCCTCTGTGTGTGTGTGTCTCTAAGAATGTGTGTCTCTCTCTGTCTGAGTGTGTGTGCGTCTCTCTCACTGTGTGTGTGTGTCTCAGTAAGTGTGTGTATCTCTCTCTGTCTGAGTGTGTCTCTGTGAGTGTGTGTGTCTCTCTCCCTCTGTGAGTATGTGTGTCTCTCTCTGTGAGCACGCATGTCTCTCCTCTGAGCACATGTATCTCGCACTCTCTGCCTCTGAACGTGCGTGTCTCGCGCTCTCTGCCTCTGTATGTGTGTGTCTCTGTCTGTGTGTGTCTCTGTCTGTGTGTGTCTCTCTATCTGTGTCTGCAAGTGTACATGTCTTGTGTTCTGTGTCTCTGTGTGGATGCGTATCTCGCGTTCTTTGCCTCTGGGAGCACGCGTGTCTCACGCTCTGTCTCACGCTAACGCTCACGCGTGCGAGTCTCGGGCTCTCTGTCTAGTGAGCCCGCGTGTCTCTCACTGTCTCTGTCTCTGTGAGCGCACGTATCTCACTCTGTCTGTCTCTGGGCGTGCGCATGAGCGCGCTTCCTCTGTCTCTGGGCATGCGCACACTCCCTCTGTCTCTGTGAGTGCACGTGCTCTTGCGCTCTGTCTCTATGAGTGTGTGTATCTGTCTGAGTGCGCCAATCTCACTCTGTCTCTCTGATTGCGTGACTCTCTTGCTCTGTGTCTGTGAGTTTGTGTCTCTTGTCTGAGTGTGTGTGTCTCGCTATCTCTGCGTCTGTGAGCGCATGTGTCTAGCTCTCACTGTGTCTAAGTGTGCATATGTCTCGTTCTCTCTGTGTCTGAGTGTGCATGTATCTCGCATTCTCTGTTCCTGTGTATGTGTGTCTCACTCTGCTTGTGAGTGTGTGTGTATCTTGCACTCTGTCTGTGAGTGTGTGTGTCTCGCGCGTTCTGTGTCTTGAGAGTGTTCGTGTATGTCCCACTCTCTCTGTGTCTGTGAGTGTGCTTGTGTCGCTCTCTGTATCTGTCAGTATGTGTGTGTCTCGCTTTCTCTCTGTCTGTGAGTGCGTGCGCTCTCTCTGTGAGTGCGCGTCTCTCGCTCTCTGTGAGTGCATGTCTCTCGCTCTGTGTCTGTGAGGGTGTGTCTTGCTCTCTCTTTGTCTGATTGTGCGTGTGTCTCGCTTTGTGTCTGTGAGTGTGCGTATGTCTCGCGCTCTCCATGTCTGTGAGTGTGTCTCTGTGACTGTTTGTGGTGCTGGGTCCTGAGAGGCAGGAGGTGATGCGCTCCTGTTGCTCCGCAGTCATTGGTCCTGAATGTCTTTTGGGGGGGATCTCCAGGCCCTTCGGGCCTACGCTGCTGTGGCCACCAGCCCCAACCCCAAATTGGGCCACCACGTTTTTGTTTAAAAAAATAATTAAAATGTTTTGCAGCAATCTAATATGTATTATTTTGTCAAGTTTAGTTTTTAATCAATAAAGTAAAAAAATGTAGTTTGGCAGTAAAATGTACCTCAATAGCACGAATCAACTCCCTGCAATTTTATGGTGTTTTTCAAATTTCCCTACAATTTGGGGCAAATAATTCTGCACTTTTCTATTGGTCCAGGTCATCAATAACTAATTGCCAAATTGTTCTTGGATGCAAGTGTAAATGTTCTTCCTTTCTCAACATTGAGTTTTCTTTTTTTTAATCCCTACCTTGTCATTTTTAAAAATATTTTTTTAAAAAGCTTAAATGTACAAAAAAAAGTACTGTTTTTCATATTGATACAGGATTACAGTTGAAGTACATGAACACCTTACATTGTTTAAAACTTCAGAAGATCAACAGCATATGTTTAGAACAGGTTATCTGTTAGGATTACTCATGGAAATTTGGGCTATTTAAATAAAAATAACTATCAGTAAAACAAAATGTTAAGTATCTGCTGTAAACTAGTATTTGACGATTTCCAAAGTTGTAATGCTTAAACAATAATATAATTGCCATAGAAAACATAGAAATAATTTTGCTAACGTATGGAATATGGGTGAAATGAAATGGAATGAGGCTTCTTATCAATGTCAGAATAGAACAGAGTGATAGTTTCATAAACAAGAACTGGTGTGGAAAGCAGTAGTGTTATAATGGGTCTGTGAAAAATAAATGGCCACCATATGTTGTATTGAGTAAGGTGGTGCTAGGCAAATACAAACACCAGTCACAAAAGTACCAAAACAGGGAGGGGAAGCTTTCTTGTCCATACCTTTTCATCTTATCTTCCCCCCCACCCCCAACTCGGGTGCCCAGCAGTGTGAAGTGCTTTGAGACGTTCTGCTGGCCTCCAAACAATTTAAATAATGACACTACTGTATGTTTTTCTCCAGGTTTTCACACCTGCTTTGTGTGTAGACAGAATGGTGAGGATGTGAAGCGATGTCTCATGCCATTATGTGGGAAATTTTATCATATGGAGTGCATTGAAAAGTATCCCACCAGCGTAGCATTGAACAAAGGATTTCGCTGTTCACTTCACGTCTGTCTATCTTGTCATGCATGCAATCCTACAAATCCAAGGGCAACCAAAGGTACTGTTTACTAAGAGAATGTTTTTCAATAAAAGGTTCAGATTTATAAATTATAAATGTAACTATCAACAATCCTATAGTTATGCAATCTTATCTGGAGTGCTTTGAGACTTTCAATGTAATAGATGCTACCTCAAATGCGAGTATTATTATTTTTTACACCCTACTACTTTAATTATCTTGGATTCTTGGATATGTTTGGTGTAGTATTCAGCATCAGTGAAAAAAATACCCTAGATATCAGTGAAGTATCTTGCATCCATTCCTCTTTGATGATGATGATTGGTTCTTCAGTGATTAATTGCTGAAGAAATCCCCAAAATTGTGTATGTTCTATGGATTGTTTTGGTCTAGTTTGAATTTGATCTTCCACATGTTCTTTATCAAGGTGGCTTGGTGAGGAATAACATTGCTTTCATTTGATTTTGACATACTTGACATCATGATCTTGGCATATTACTTGTATTATTTTCTCTATCAAAATCATTAAAAGTTTTTTTCCCTCCAAGCTAGAGGTGACAATTAATTTCATTGTCATCAACAATTACTGCTCCCTCCAACCATTTTGCCTATCAAGAGTATCAAGTAATATTGAGTGGGGAATCTTAAGAGTTGCAGGCACTTCAGGGAAAGCCAAAGTGAGGGTTTCCATCACACGTAAGCTCTTAACAGTCTTAATTATTATCTTGTTTGTAGTTTTCCTTGCAGTATACTGGATCAGATATAAAAACACCAATCTTTAATTTGCTTTTCTAAAATATTCTGTCAAACAACTGCTTTTATCATAAAAAGGAAGATCAGGGAAACAAACAATTACACAATATCTGCACTTCCCCATTCAAATTACACGCTAAATGATTACATAAACAGCCTACAAATAAAATATGTTAGCACAAGATATAAACCATTGTATCCCACTGTTAATAATAATAAATAATTAAGCATTTGACATGTCAAGAGGATATCTTAAAGTGTTTCATGAGACTTGCTGTAAAGTGTAGTAACTGAATTTTGTTGGCAAATACAATTTGATGAGGGAAATATGGAAAGTAGAAATTGTTATGCAAGTAGCCAAGCATATGTAATATGTTAAAAGTGTATTCTAATTTAATATTACTAGTTCTGTTCATGTTTTTTGTATGTGCCTAGGTCGAATGATGCGCTGTGTGCGGTGCCCTGTTGCATACCATGCCAATGATAATTGTCTCGCAGCAGGATGTGTGGTCTTGGCTTCAAATAGTATTATCTGTACCAATCATTTCACTGCAAGGAGGGGCTGCAGGCATCATGGGCATGTCAATGTCAGCTGGTGTTTTGTTTGCTCAGAAGGTAAACTAAAGCTTGAAATAAGTATTTGTACTTTTATCTGTTGTTACCTCAGTTCAGTTTACTTAAGTAGGGTTAGTTAATAGTAATTTTACAACCTTAAAGGAAGGAACTCAAATATCTAGTTGGCTAGCAGACGTTTTCCAGCTGGCGGACCTTCCAAATACAATATAGTTGAACCTTCGTCTTCAGAACACCCTATGCAGCTGCTCTTACCATCTTAAGAAATCGCAATGGTCAAGGAAAGAGACCTTCAGATGTGGGTCTTAGTGATGTTCCAGAATAACAATTAAAATAAGGATATTTTGCAATACTGGCAGATTTTATGGGTACTCAGATGCAGTATTGCCTGAACCTGCAATGTAGATATCTTTTAAAGTGTAAGTCTTAAAGTCATAATGTTTAGTTTATTTTAAACCTATAAGTGCAGACAGTCAAGAACATACTTCTGCTATTTCCATGTGTGTTTTTAGTTCAACATTCAAAACAAACCCATGACAAAAAACACCTTTGGTTTGTTTGCATTTGTACTTTGACACTAGATTACCTGTTTTTGTTCTTATACCTAAATGTATCCATTTTGATCATCAGGAGGCAGCTTGCTGTGCTGTGAGTCTTGTCCTGCCGCTTTTCACCGTGAGTGCCTGAACATCGAGATGCCTGCAGGAAAATGGTACTGCAATGACTGCAAGGCTGGGAAAAAGCCACGCTATAAGGACATAATTTGGGTTAAATTAGGTCGATACAGGTTAGTTAGATTGCCTTCAACAAATCCCGTAACCTTTGCTATATAATGTACTATGCTCAACCCATTTTCATCTCCCGAGGAAAGGTGCAACAAAGGTTATCTGTATCACAGAAATCAATCGAGAATAACTCTTAATAGATATTTAATCCTGCATTGTATATCTAGACCATTTATTTCTTTGGCATGATTTTCCATGAAATTGGAATCTCCATCCTTGTAACCTTCAATGATATTATTAATTATTATTATATTCCTAACCAGACATATGTGCAACATATTCACTTTAAAATGTTAACTAAAAAAAATCAACTGCTTTATATGGGATTTTATTTGCATATTTTCAGGTGGGAGGAGGGGAAAACACTGAGGTTAAAAATAATTTGGAACTGTGCAGTTTTGTCCATAGAGGAATGATTTAATGCTGCTGGGAAGGATTCTTGTCCTGATTATTAATTAATCTCAAAACTGCAATGAGGTTTATGCTTCTTATGACAGGTGGTGGCCTGCTGAAGTCTGTCATCCCAAAAATGTTCCTACAAACATCCAGAAAATGAAGCATGAGATTGGTGAATTCCCTGTCCGTTTCTTTGGCTCCAATGACTACTTCTGGACATACCAGGCACGAGTGTTCTCATACATGGAGGGAGACAAAGGAAGTAAAGATAAAACGTGCAAGGGCCTCAATAGCATCTTTAAAAAAGGTAATGCTGCTAAGCTAAGTGCATCGAAAACTTTGGGAATATATGAGTTCTAAAAACTATTATTAATTGTTCATCGTCTTTTTCAATCAAAAGTTTTAACAACTATGAATTCAAATACTTTTCCAGTTCATCAATGGGTGCTCCTAACTACCCCAAGTAAGATTTCTAATTGAAGTGTTATTGTCTGATTAGGAGCAATTTTATATGGAATTGAAAATCTAAGCTAAAGACATAATGGGGTCTAATTAGCATGATTAAATAAAAAGGATTTGAAAATATTGAATGGTGCTCCTGGATGTATCTCGCTTGACTGCTAGACTTCCACTTGGTCACCAGCCTTATGTCATCAAACCAACATTGATTTTTTTTATTTTAGAAAGCTTGTCAAATGATCTTCAATGCTCTTGGGTATCATATCAGGAACAATAAATATAATTCATTCCAGGTTGACAGTCGGTTATGGAAACACTTAGCAGTGCTATGGTATTTCTAAGTCAGATAATTCAAACTAGCTGTCTCTACAGCACTACAGGAAGCTGCAGAAAGATTTGAGGAGCTGAAAGCTCAAAAAGAGACAAGACAAGCACAGGAAGAAAAACGGAATGAAAAGAAGCCACCACCATACAAACACATCAAGGTAGGAACTATCAGGTTCTTTCAATATGTCAGGCTGGAGAACACCATAATGCATTACATTTAGTCGGCAGAATGAAAGATAAGTGTGTACAGGCTGGAGAACAATGCACTTGTCTTGTAACATGCTACATTATATGTGATTTTCATCTGTTGCTAGAGGGCGTACATTCTTCCTTGCTTTATTGCAATAAATAGTGCCGACTTTCAACTAAATTCATAATTTTTGCTTAACATAATTCACTTTTGCTAGGAAATCATTAATGATACTATCTACAACTTCATACCTTTTCTTTGCAAGGAATCCTCAGTTAGTTGAGATGTACAGAATTGTCACTTTCATTGTCGATGGAGACAAGTTTTTGCCAATCATTTTCTTTCTGTAGGATCAAAATGTTGGGTAGACCCATGACTAAAGAAAGGTTAGTGGATTGTATTTATTTTGTTACAACCCGGCAAGCAGGGTGCTATAGGAAACGTAAGAGACTACTCATCTGATGGCTAATTTCTGGGGCTATAGGCAAGGATCTTCAAGCTGTCAAGTTCACCTGAACTTCTGTGTTTCTGAGTTCCATTGCCAACTGTTGCACTAACATAACATAACATGTAGGAGCAGGAGTAGGCTATTTGGCCCTTCGAGCCTGCCCCGCCATTCAATCATGGCTGATCTTCTAATCTAACTCCAGCTAATAACCTGACCCTGCTTTATCCCCATATCCCTTAATCCCTTTTGCAATAAGAAATCTATCTATCTCAGTCTTGAATATGTTCAAGAACTGAGCGTCAACAGCCCTTTGGGGTAGTGAGTTCCATACATTCACCACTCTTTGAGTGAAGAAGTTCTTCCTCAACTCAGTGCGAAAGGACCGGCCTCTGATTTTAAGGTTGTGACCCCTGGTTTTAGTTTCTCCAACCATGGAAAACAATCTCTCACTATCTACTCTATCATGCCCTTTGATGATCTTATAGGTTTCTATAAGGTCCCCTCTAATTCTTCTATATTCTAGAGAATATAGGCCCAAATTGGTCAGCCTATCCTCGTAACTCATCCCCTTCATCCCTGGCACTAACCTAGTAAATCTACGCTGCACCCCCTCCAAGACAAGTACGTCCTTCCTTAAATGAGACCAAAACTGGACACAGTATTCCAGGTGTGGTCTCACCAGGGCCCTATACAGTTGCAGCATATATGTATGTTTAGGTTGAACAAATAAAGGGGAATGTCAGATCAATACCCAGGTATGATCTCATTGTTTGCATCTTCAATCAGGCAACTGAGTGTATGATTCAGTCCAAATCTCACTGACCAAGACTAAGGTGCCATGGTATGAGATTCTCAAAAGAACAATTTGATTTACTTTTATCATGTGTAATGGCAAATAATATGTTACCTGGATATGGGATAAAGCATCTTCCAAAGAATGAGAAAGAGAATGTTATGATGAGTAAAATTCTACAATTTAATTAATAAGTTATTCTATATTCACAAAATCTGTATAATTTTTTTTTAAAAAGGACGTTTAACGATATGTTTTCCTGGTTAGGTGAACAAGGCAGTGGGTAAGGTTCAGATCTTTACCGCTGATCTCTCTGAGATTTCACGATGCAATTGCAAGCCAACTGATGAGAATCCCTGTGGCCAAGACTCTGAATGTTTGAACAGGATGTTAATGTACGAGTGCCATCCAGCTGTCTGTCCTGCTGGAGAAAAATGCCAGAACCAATGCTTCACCAAACGGCAATATCCTGAAGTAGAAATTTTAAAAACTCCAGGGCGAGGATGGGGCTTATGTTGTAAAGGTGACATTAAGAAGGTGAGTTCATTTCAATTGGTTTCTGTTGACTTACAAGATGCTTAAACCAGTGGTGGCCCGTGGTGCCGTTATTAATTGGTCCCCCAAACTTTCGTACGATTCTAGATAAGGTAGTGTGATTTTCCCTTTTTTTTGATTGAATATTTCTTGGCTTATGGCACAAATCAAGAAATATTCAATCAAGAACATTTATTTTGTTGGTCAGCCAAAAAGATTGCCCACCACTGATTTAAACCATAAATTGCTTCTAAAGCATAGTGTGTGGTTGTATTTGGAACAACCAGCTTCTGATTATCAATGAATCAAGTTATGAGTAGTGTTCAGTGAAAATTGCACATAATTTCCTTGCTGAATGGAAAAAACTAAGAAATAACTTAAATTTTTATAGTGCCTTTTGATTACAATCTTTGAAAGCTTTTTACAGTAATTTCTCCCACTGGTCGTGTTTTTGTAGGCAAATGCAGCCATCAAGACAAGGTCCACAATGGGCATAAGGTGAATTGCCACTGGGTGTCATTGTTACCAAATGTGGCCATAATAATCCAATTTGTAAAAAAGTATTTATAGTTAAACAAGCTGCTTTTATTGGGAGTCTGTTCCACTAATCCACAAATTTGTGGGGACAATCTTGTAATCTCTAGTCCTCCTTAAGCCTTTTTAATTTTAGAGTTTGCATTAAAAACTGTTTGAGAATTTAAGCCATTGTGTAGTAGCATTTATTCCATCTTCTAAACATTAACTTAGGTACAGTAGTTCCATATATTTTTGATAGAATGTGGTGTGGTCTTGCAACCATTGATTCAATTGGTTTCAGTAGCAATCAGATTGAAATGACCATGGAAATTATTAACAGGGATATTATTTTAGTCATTATAGAAAGTGTAATATGCTGTAATCATTTTGACTTTAGTTTGACAGTAAATTGAGGATATATCTGTGAATAAAATTGAATAACTTCCCAATACTGTATAAACTAGTATTTTTGTGACCTACGTTATCTTGCTATTTTCGCATCCTGATGTTTATTATTAAATCGGCTGGATTTAAAACAATTCAACTTGTATTTACTAAAATGGTCAGGAGACATATAATCATGTGGCTTGCATGAAAATAAAGAGATGTGATTGTACATTAACAATTTGCAATCTATCATGTCAATCATAATGCTTACAGGGACAATTTGTGAATGAGTATGTGGGAGAGGTAATAGATGAAGAGGAGTGCTATTCTCGAATCAAGTATGCACAGGAACATGATATCTGCAACTTCTATATGCTCACTCTTGACAAGGTAAGAATAGTTGGAAACTTACAATATTTTACATTCAGGCACATAATAAACAGCGTGCCGGAGAATATCAGTCCTGTATAATCAGTCACCAAGTTAAGAATATACCAGAGTGTCAGTAGTTGCTCGGGCAGACTTTGTACAGTTAATAATCTGGAGAAGTAGTGCATACTATCTCACCCTAGAGATTTTATTCAACTGGTGAATAAATGTAATTTGCTTGTGCTTTTTTTTGTTTCTTTTTGTCTTATTTGTTTCTTTTCAAGAATTATCTCAGGGCAGAGGTACACTGATTGACTCATTGTAGAGTTTAACTGAAAGCAAAGAAGGTTGCTTTTGGAAAAAAAGTCCAAATAAACTGGTGGAACTGGGCTGACTATATTCCTTACTGGGCTGACTATATTCCTTGTACATAGAACACCAATCATCATATATCCACTTATTGATTTTGGGCTCTGATACCGATGTGAATGTGGGGCTCCATGACAACATTGCGGGCCTCGTAACCTGGTCACTTAGCAGTACTGGTCAATGTGGTGGCCAATTATTTGCAGTTTACTTATACACAATGGGGCCAATCAAATATAGCAGGGATATTCAGCTCTACTGTACTTGGACGTAAACTCCACTACTATAGAATCCAAATATGGTCAATAAGACTGACTTATTGGCTTAAGTCATTCAAGCACAATGACAACAACAACAAAATTACATTTATAGAGCGCCTTTCACGTCGGGAGGGGTCAAGGGGTCAGGACCCGAGCATGAGGGAGGGATGGGGTAGGGGTGAGGGAAGACATAGAAGCGGGAGGGCAACTGAAGGCACGATAGAAGAGGATGGTCTTAAGACCGGCCTTGAAGGGGGCAAGGGAGGAAGCGAGGCGAAAGGACTGGGATGGAGTTCCAGAGTGTGGGGGTGGAGAGGCTGAAAGCCCAGTCACCGATGGTAGGGCGGGTCGGGACATGGAGCAGGCAGGTTGGTAGGAAGTCAGCAGGTCAGAGAGGTAGGAGGGGGCAAGGCCATGGATAGCCTTGAAAGTGAGGACGAGGATCTTGAATTCGATCCTCAGAGGGATGGGGATCCAGTGGAGTCGGGCGAGGGTGGAAGTGATGGGGTCATGGAGCCTGGTGCTCAGTGACAACATTGTGTTGCAATTATACACCCTTCAAACAGGATAGCGTCTCTGAAAACCTTCAAGGGAATATACTAATAATCGTTGCATTTGATATAAGTTCTTATCACATCTTTGAGATATCTCAAAGCGCTTTACAGAATATTCTGTAAAGTGAATTAGAATACATTAGAATATACAGCACAGAAACAGGCCATTCGGCCCAATTGGTCTATGCCGGTGTTTATGCTCCACATGAGCCTCCTTCTGCCCTTCCTCAACTAAGCCTTCAAGCATAACCTTGTATTCCTTTCTCCCTCATCTACCTATTTAGCTTTCCCTTACACACATCTATGCTATTTGCCTCAACAATACCTTGTGGTAACATGTTCCACATTCCCACTACTCTCTGTGTGAAGAAATTTCTTCTGACTTCCCTATTTGATCTATTTATGACTATTTTATATTGATGGCCCCAGGTTTTGGTCTCCCTCACAAGTGAAAACATCTTCCCTGTGTCCACCCTATTAAAGCCTTTCAACATTTTAAAGGCCTCTTATCAGGTCACCTCTTACCCTCTTCTTTTCAAGAGAAGAGTCCAAGCATGTTCAGCCTTTCCTGATAGGTCTCAGTTCTAGGATCATCCTTGTGAATCTGCTTTGCACCCTCTCCAGTGCCTCTATATCACTTCTATAAATGTGGGGAGCAGAATAGCATACAATTCTAGGTGTGGTCTAACCAAGGTTCTATAGAAGTTTACCATAACTTCTCTGCTTTTAATTTCTATGCCTCTAGAAATGAACCCTAATGCCTGGTTTGTAGCTTAGTGGTTAGAGCACGCGCCTCTCAAGGGAGAGACCTAGGTTCAACTCCCGGCAGGGCAAAACCTTAGGCAAGTTTACTTACTCCACACGCCTAAACAATAATCCCTCAAGAAAAAAACAAACAATAATAAATTGGTCACTTCAATCCATGGCTGTTTGTTGAACACTGCTGTGCACAATTGGCTGCCGCGTTTCGCCCACAAATATATAGTCAATTCACTTTACAATTTATTCTGTGAAGCGCTTTGAGACGTCCAGAAGATGTGAAAAGCGCTCTATCAAAATGCAAAGATTATTATTATTTGCTTTTTTTATGGCCTTATTAACCTGCATTGCTACTTTTAGTGAATTGTGTATGTGTACCCCAAGATCCCTTTGCTCCTCTACCCCATTTAGGTTTTTATTTTCCAGGTTGTATGTGACTTCCTTATTCCTTCTACCAAAATATACCACCTCACACTTTTCTACACCAAAATGTACCACCTCACACTTCTCTACAAAATGTGAATTGACTACATCTTGTGTATGAAATATCATGCTAGAATTTCATTGATTTCATGTTTTCCTAAAATTATAGTAATCATTGCCCTAAATATAAATGACTTGTGACTAATGTGTTTGAATGAACAACACTTTTTGTGGAGATGTTGTGATGTGTTAAACCAGATAAAGAAAAGATGAATTTAATTGAGAATTTTATTACAGGACCGGATCATTGATGCAGGCCCAAAAGGAAATTATTCGCGCTTTATGAATCACAGCTGCAAGCCAAACTGTGAAACACAGAAGTGGACAGTGAATGGAGATACTCGAGTTGGACTCTTTGCTTTGTGCGAGATTCTTTCAGGTGAGGAACAGTGTTTGAGATAACAGAGTTAAGTTAGTATCCTGTAAAGTGACACTGAAATGCTTTGCGGCTGATATCTCCAGTGATGGCCAGTTAAAACTTTGAGCGCAAACATTATGCCAAAGCAGATGGTGGAGATTTCACACCAGCAGCCCATCTTTTGACCGCAATTTGGAGTGATGTAGCCGCTGGTAATTATCACATTTTGCTATTTTCACCTGGTGTCTCATTCTGAGTTAACGATTTTACTGCTACTGAAATTGCACACATTCTAGTCCATTTAATCAGTGGATTATTACATAAATTATTTCTGGCACTTTTTTCTACTGGAGATGATTTACTCACAGCAGTTGAAAAAATGCTCATTCCACGTAGCTTCTGTTTGTTTTGCCTGGAACACTCATAGTTGTCAAAGAAATTGTTTCCAACCAGATTTTCATATACAACTTGACCAAACTAGTATCAAGGTAGTAATTTCCTTGAAAAAAGACATTGGAGAAATTCTTCTTGCAGTAAGAGAAATTTCACCCCTAGATGTTTCACCTATCACATATTGTTTGTATATGGAGATTGTACTACATTGAAGAATGAAGAAAATATTACCTAAAAGTAAAACTATCAAAACATTTACAGGTTCTGAGCTGACATTTAACTACCACCTGGAGTGTCTGGGCACTGGAAAGACGGCATGTAAATGCGGAGCTCCAAACTGTAGTGGCTACCTAGGTGTACAACCAAAGGTAGGACATTTATTTCACATTCTGCCATACCGTATTTAGTGCTATTAAACTAGATATCGTACTTTTGTCTAATTAAAATCTTTAAAGCAAAGTTGACCATTTATCATTGGAATTAAATAATACTATAGACAAGTGCACATGAATTAGAATGAAAATTAATTTATTTAATAAGTTCTTTAATTTCAAGAGAAAAAAATATTAATGCATAATGTTTTGGAGTATTTAACAAATTCAGTTATGAATGTGTTCCTTTTATTTTACCGTTATGGTCTCTGGTCAAGAGACGCAGGGGATTTCCCCCAAATCAAACTCATTTAGCTGTCTTCACTGTGGATCAAGATGAATAATATTAATATTTTTGGATAAACCCATTCAGAGCTGGATTAATAAGTTGAAATAGTTGAAGTAGAAATGAATTGAAATTTGAAGTACTTAACCCTAACTTGGAAATGTCAGTTTTCTACTTTGAGATTTGGGGTTGTGTTGTTTGTGTTGTGGAGTCCTGTGGCTCAGTGGTTAGAGCACTCGCTTTGCAAGCGAGAGACCTGAGTTCAATTCCAAGCAGGGCGAAACCTTGGGCAAGTTTCCTTACTCCACACTCCTAATAATAATCCCTCCAAAAACCAAAAACAATAATAAATTGGTCATTTTCAATCTACGACTGTTTGTGGGACATTGCTGTGCGCAATTGGCTGCCGCGTTTGCCCACAAATATACAGTCAATTCACTTTACAGTGTGTTCTGTGAAGCGCTTTGGGACGTCCTCCTGACGTGAAAAGCGCTATATCAAATGCAAGGATTATTATTATTATTATTATTGTACAAAGTATTTTTCATTTTTTATAAAGGAGAGTTCATATCAAACCATGGTTATTGTGGAACAAGATGAATAATATTAATTTAGCATATATTTATTTAGCATATAGGCTGACCCTGGTGTAATGTGCACTGGTTTAGCTTGGGTCTGCTTATAGCACAGGTGCATTGTGGATGACGCTATACCAGAACACTGCACTTTTGGTACTGTTTAATCAGCTTCTTGCACATGGCATACTATGCACAAGAAACACAACTACTTCTTGCAAATAGTGTATGCATACAAATCAAACGTACAAGATAAGTGTTTTTATTTTCATAAATTGACACCATTCAAAGTGCAAAAATAAACTGGGATTGTTTGGCACGCACCCAAGCTAATTCAGTACACACTTGGGGATTGAATACAACATTTTTTACAATTTAATCTCTGAAATGCTTTTTCAAAAATTTTACTCAAGTGTTTTTTCCTCCTACTGTATCTTCAGAATGCACCAACCTCTGCTGATATGAAGAAGAAACCACCAATTCCAAGAAAACGCAAACAACAGTCTGAACTAGTAAAAGACCACGAAGAAGAGTGTTTCCGTTGTGGAGATTCAGGACAATTGGTAATCTGTAAGAAACCAGGATGTCCTAAAGTGTACCATGCTGATTGCCTGAACCTGAACAAACGTCCTGCTGGTGAGTACCTGAACTTATTTCTACAGTAAATGCCACCCATCAGGAGAGCAGCAGTGCTGTATTTTCTATGATGTACATATATACAGCAAGAACATGTTCTACCCATCACTACTTAACAGCCTTGAGGCAGATTTCAAATCTACTAAAATCTCACCCCATGTTATTAGCGAGAGACGATTGTGAGTTTTAAGCATTCCGAGATCTTACTCACTTGAAAGGCGCTCTATAAATGCAGGTTTTTGTTATGTGCATGCACAGAAACAACCAGACTTGTGTCCTGCGAGTATTGGACAGCTCCAATCCTAAAAGAAAAAATAGCTGATTTTGAGTTAATTAGGTGTCTGTCATGTCACTTCCTGTTTTCTGCACATGCCTGTGCAACTTATTCTTAAAGGATAATTTTGTTGTGGAAAATATTATATAAATTTATTTGTTTTACTTTGTAATCTACTAGTCTAACCTACTAAGATATGATGTGGCTTGCAACAGGAAATTTCTTCAAGTCTTTCCTGTCTTATTTTCTCAACAGGTAAATGGGAGTGTCCGTGGCATCAGTGTGATGTGTGTGGGAAGGAGGCAATTTCTTTCTGTGAGCTGTGCCCTAGTTCATTCTGTATGGATCATAGGGAAGGAGCACTCTTCATCTCTAAGCTGGATGGCCGACTCAGCTGTAATGAACACGATCCCTGTGGCCCAATCCCTTTAGAACCTGGAGAAATCAGGGAAATCATGCCATCACCCAACAAACTGGTTTTACACGCCTTGCAACCTTTAGATTCTACACTTATTCGGTGAATGGAGCATCGTCTGTGTTGTGCATTTGGCAGGGGCTTTGTTTAAAAAAAAGTAGAAAGTACTTTCATTTGAATAGAAAATGGTTACTTGACCTGGATGTGAATGTGTGAGTGTACCACTATATGATTGGAGTCAGCTGCAAGATGCATAATATCTGGGTGCTTGTGGGTTACTTGTAGTGAGCAAAGTGGACTTGAAGAGGTACAATATTTAATTACAAGCTCATGTTCCCATTATTTTCAGCACAATAGTACATTAGCACATGCATTCTTGAATCTTGTATGGGATCCACAACTGCCATGAACAGATCCATGCAGAAATTTCAGTTAAACCTCCTGAAAGGCACTTTGTTATTGATGGTCCTTGGTGAACCTAATTAGTGGTGGACTTTTAATGTGACGTGCTATGATGCTCACTTAAAACAGGACCAGCATGTTCATCTAGCATTGCTTCTGGGGTTGAATGCTCGATTTTATTCCACATTTCGAAGAAGCAGACACTCTTTTCAATGATTACCTTGAACTAAGTCCTTGTTCATCAGTTACATAATAGTTGCTAATCATGGTAAATCTTCATTTAAATTTATAAGCAGTTCCCTGAGATGCATCTATGATTGAATATGACTCATGTGAGGAGTGGGGATATACAATGTGTTAGAATGTTGCTACTTCAATTGTTGAATGTAAGTTTAAATCCAGTCCATCTCGCAGCTCGATTGTGTGGGACGAGAATCTGTTGTGCATTAGAATCCAAGCTTAAACGGTTCATATGCAACGAATGAAGACCTGTTTCTACTTAACCTTTAGAGTTGCATGATGCAAATCTAGGCACATAAACTTCTCTAAATTTGCATCCATTTCTGATCTTAGCAGCTACAGGAATAATCTGTTGTCAAATGTAAAAGCAATCTTAATACAAAAGTTTAAACACGTTTGCCAGTAATGTGAAGCCTCATTCAGATGGGGGTACACATACATGTTAGATCCGGAGAAAACTATTTTTTTTAATTGTTGAGTGGGAGAATTAGCTAAGCAATTAGATTCTAACAGTCCTATCATCAAGACTGGATTCTGTCCTGGGAATCAGAGAATCACCCGAGATTATTTGCCAGTTTACACAAGCTGTTGAGTTTCAGTGAGTTGCACTAACTCAGTCTGCTTCAGTGTCCATAGAGCCAAGCCAGTATGTTCATTCACAAATAAAAGAATACTCACTAAAGGCAAGAGTCATTTAACTGTCACTTTTTGCCTTTTTTTTAAAAAAAGGAATGCTTGATGTCAAAATGTATATCAGTATGTATTCTTATGATACAATTTTAGTTTTTATTTCACACTAGTTTTTCAGCTTCATTTTATTATACTCGTAAACAGTGAAGCAAAGGTCTTTCAGCAGGAATGTGACCCTTCCATTTGTCATCTAAACATTTTTGGGGATTCTAATGTATTGGTAACAAATTGCTTGTTCATCAGTACAATAGGTTTCCATAGATCTGCCAAGCCTTTCTGATTCAAACTAGTGTCTTCGTGTTTATTAAGTGTGTTGCCAACAAAATTATAATGACACCATGACTTTGGATTCTGACAACTTGCAACATTGTGGAAATATTATTGGCATGCTTATTTTATTAAGATTGTGGCAAGACTGCACTATTTCCCAGGAGTGAAAAATTGAAGCAAGAGTGGAGAACTGCCATTACTTTCACCTTCTCTTCTCCACCTCCACTGGCAATGTAGCCTGTGGAGGTGAAAAACGTATGAGCTGCCCAGCATTTAACAAATTATAAGTTCTTTACAAGTGTTTCCTATAGAGATCTGCAGAGTAGTCCAATACGTATCTCGACCTCACAAACTGAAGTTTGCAATAGTATTTGCAGTCAATTCAAACTTAATATTGGGGTAAGTCATCGGCTCATCAGAACACTATAGATTTTTTTAAAAAGTGGCATTTATCCCTCTCTACAGAGTTAATGGAAACCTGATACTGTACTAAATGATTAAGAATGATTACTGATTTCAAATAAGTTATCTGCTCTCCTCATCATAGGCAAAGCTTCATGTTCAGCCGCATCAAAAAGGCGGTTTTGTGATTTTTCTAATAGTGCATTGCACTTTGTGAAGTATTTACAAAGTAAATCATTGTGAAAAAAGTAGCAGTGCAAAAGCACTTCCCGAAAGAACGTTAATTTGATTTTTTAAATTATAGTGTGTCAGTGCTTGATTCAGCTGCAAGTTGGGAGATATACTTTGGTTCAAAATTTAGCCTTCTTTGAAAGGTTCTAATTTTTTTTAAATTCTAACTTAGAATTGCCACTTTTGTCTAAACAGGGTAGTGGAACAAATCATGATTGCTTCATAACTCATGTCAACAAAATGCAACTCTGGCAATAGCAGATATACTTTCAAAGACGTTTCCACTTTCTTAAAATTCTATTTGTCATGTGTGTATTCCCTGCTCCTGCAAGCCTTGTTGTTAGGTCTACTGCCTGCACTCAACAAGCCTAAAGCTTTTAGAATTCCCTTTTAATTTTTAGTGATATTCTGTTATTTTTATATATTTTTGTACTTTATATGTGGCACCAGTCATATCTGCCACTAAAGCATTAAAACTGATGCATAAAAAATATCAGACCAATGCTACATTATCTACACACAATACATTTATAGTTCTGTGTGTTTTTATTCATCACCTCAGTTTATGTTGCATCATGGGAAGAGGATAAGAAGAAATCCAGCTTTTAAAAATACATTTATATATATAGATTTATAGTCTATCACTATTTATCAGAAGCAGGTCATTTTGGTGCTTCTAAAGTAAGAAAGGATTAGAAATTCATAGGGGGCGACATTGGAAGACTATCATTGTGATGAACCCTTAATAGCTAATTTGGAAATAGAATTAGGCATGTAACTAAGTTATAACTCCTTCTGGTTGGATCCTAAATAAAGGTATTCATGTTCTGAAGATCATTTCTGAAAATCAAATTCTAGTTCCGAAAGAGATTGATGTTTTGAAGGATGTATAATCAAATACTGGGGAACATTACCTTCAATCCTGGAATATCATGCTGAGGAATATACTGGATCCAAGGTTAGATGTAATCCCTTAAGAGTTTCAGAGAGAGAGAATTCAGAAATGTTACTTAGGATCAGTTCTAAAGCAATAATGGGCAGTAACGTCCTGGTACTTGTAGACTTTGGGGTTTGTGGTCCAGTGAGTTAAATCATTTTTGAACAAACCATGTCATTTGTAGTTTTATGAGGAATTAATTGACAGAAAGACCAATTTGCTGCACAGAAATGGGAATAATAGAATTTAAGTCCTGTTGCACATATTTAGGAGCCCATTACAATTTTGCTATTTTGTCAACTGTGATGCAGTTGAAGCTATTTATTTCACTAAGAGCTTTGAGTAAATTTGGAAGAGTCTGTGACCATACAGACTTTATCATTCTTATCACCAGTAATACTATAGGAAGTGTAAAGCTGTGCCAGAATTACCCACAGGCAAACCTGCTACAGCTACACAGTATAGACATAAGCAAGCTTTATTTCTTCCACATTTCTCCTTTCCATGCTGATTTACACAAATTCACAAATCAGTGAACTGGAGACTAATAAAAGTAATTTGGTGCCTTTTTGTTGAAATTAAAGAAAATTCTGTGAAAGGCGCTATACAAATGTGATTTGTTGATAAAATTAAATGGAGAATTCAGTTGAAGTGGCTTTTATTTTCCCTCCCTCACAAAATTCTGTAGAATTAAATGATACGCTTGTAATGTTTCTTGTAAAAAAAATTGGAGGTGGACATTTTGGAAGATTTTTTTCCCCTTAAATGGAAATTAGTCTGGAAATTAACATATCTATATGGATGCAGAATTGCACAAAAACAAGGTTTCCAGTGGGTCAGTAAATTGAATATTTTAAGGACCACAGAGGCAACTTGCGAATGGCATCAATATTTTAAAATGAAATTCAGTAATATTATCTTGCATTATCATGGCCCTACTCTGACCCAGAATTCAACTCTCGAAATGTCTTTTACTTACTGTGTTTTTTCCATTCTGTCCTGATTTAAGATTTACTACTTGTGAAGTAATTGGTTAGGTGAAAATTTTGCGAGCTTATATTCACAAACTGAAAGTCACAATTCATGCAACAAATCACATTTGAAAATATCTCTTCCTCCTTTGTTGTCAATGCTGAATGTTTGCTGAGGTAATGCTTCATAGGTGCAATGTCTTCATTGCCTAAAACTAGGCATTCATCCTTGAGTGTGTCTAAAGTCAGCACACTTTGCATTAAAGCTGAGCTTGTTGATGTTCTTGCCCAGCCCCCACACAAGGTCTTTAAGCAAAAGGAAACCTGCTTTTTTGTGGTATTCATTACCAACTGGGAATCAAACTTAATCTATAGCTTATTTCTACTCTCGACAGTACCTGATATGGCCATGCAGGATTACCGAAACAGAGTATCTCTCCCAGTACTTCACAAAAGTAAAATTCTCTCTCCCTGACATTTCATTAGTACTCAGTTAGTAGATCGGTTTTATTCAATGAAGTCACATCACTGACTGTAAAAAGGCTATTCAAACATAATGTAATTTCTTTCCAAATTCAGTAATATAATGGGAAATACTGTTAGTTTCATTTAGAAATATTTTTTAGTGGACATTTATTGGTAGCTTTGTAGAGTACAAAGCACAGAAATTAGAAACTGAAATGATTATTAAACATGATTAGAACTACTTTATGTTCACAAACATTGATTATTATCAATGTTTAATCATTGAAAAGGTTGGATGATGTGAAATCATGTTTATAACATGATCTTATAAGATATAAAATCGTTTTTATGCAGTTACTCAATGAGTCAAACAATGTGATATTTCATATATAATAGGGTTGACAAGTCATAAATGATGTGTATTATACTGAAAGCAATGCAATAGCAGAAAGTATTTTAGAAAATGTTTAGAGAGTTAACAAGAAATGTAGCAATTTTCACTGTGCATTGGAGAGGCTTGTTTCATGGTCAGAAGGTTGTGAGTTAAAGCCCAATGTTGCACCTTAAAATCATAGATTAAGCCGTACTAGGGGAAAAGCTGTATTATGCGAGCTGTGTTTCAGGTGACATGTTAAACAGAAGTTCCATCTACTCATTCTTCAGATTGATGATAAAGATCCTATGAGATAATTCGAAAAGAGAAGGGAGATTTTCCTAATTGCCAGCAATTTTCCACTTTAATTGGTCATTCACCTCATAGCTATCTTCCTGTCATAAGTGGCTACCATGGTTGCCTATAAAGTCACTACACTTGAAGTGTTATGAATTTTTTAAAAATCTTTAATGTACTTGTATCTATAGGTTGTTTTATTATAATTTAATTCAAAATCAGAAATAATTATCCAATGTGAATTGTAATGATTTTTCAGAATCAAAAAGCGATGTAAAGAGATTTGTTTGAATTGGAATGCATAACAGCACAACAGCAAAATAGTCAACTTTGAGGTATATCAAGGTGAATGTGTAACAATATCTGCCTTACGTTTAACCAAATTTTTGATTCATCCCTCTGGTGTAAGATTTTTATTTTGATAATTGAAACTGAATTCAAACTAAATTCATATACTAGTGTGAACCATATTGTCACACAGATACATACAGAGTCATTTGACATCAAACCGAACTGAGTTAAGGAAATTACTTTTCTATTTTCATAAAGAGTACAAATCTGAGTTTAAACCAGTTTAGGCTCAATGGACCAAATCAGCTCCTGCTAAGTTGCATCTCCACAAGTATATAATTCTAATGCTTTCTGTACAGTTGTTTCAGTCTTAAGTTTAATATTTCTTATATAGTTCTTTTCCCTTTTTGAAGATTGTTTTTCCTTTTTTTCTTTAATGGGCACATGGTTTTACAGGTGTTGATCACCCTCTAGTGGCCATTGCTTGAGTCTGAGTGTTAAAATGTGTCAGCAAATGTTCACCTGCAGTTGAGCATCACACCAGAGTCCATTCCTGACTCTTAACTGGCATTTACACACACATGAGCTGACTCACTTCATCCACAGGGATCACTGAGTAACAGACTATGGGATCATTTCTTAAAATTCATCGACTCAAACATGAGCACATTTTGTGCAACTGAAAAGATATTAAAATGAGAATGGAGTAAAATACAGGTATCTTAACATGTGGAACTGACAGGTTTGAATGTTGGGAATGGTTTGGTGCTTTTCAGGCGAGCTTGTTGCATCATTTGGTGGATACATTTTTGAGGTTATCATTTCTTCCACATTAGCATGACTTCCTATCCACAACAAATTTGGTATCTTGAAAAAGATTTAAACTGTAGCAACTTGCTATTTTTGAATAAACTTCAAAAGGTTATTTTTGGTGACCCTTTATAATAAGTAGAAAAACTGCCTTTTGGAATTGGTGCAACAGTGAACACTATTGTGACTTCTTAGAAACTATTTTGATTGTTTAAAATATTTATAAAATGAGCAAAAGTGACACCTGTCCAAGATTGCAAATTGTAATAGAATCAGTTAACCTTAAAACCATTTCACCAGGTTTACATATAATAAAGGGCAACACGCATGGCAAAGCTTTGGCTCTTAAAGCACCCTGGACCAAATCTTTCACTTGAGGATTGGAAACTGTTTTGCTCAGCTGACAAAGTACACTGAAGTGGATGAATGCTTTGGTAGGAGAAAATCTTAAGCTTAAAGTTTATCTTTACTAATAGAGGCATTTGCTTTCATCATACTGTGAATTACTGGAATGTGGAGAAAAGGTTATGGTTATAGAACAGAATATTACCTAAATATGTACAATTTCCAATATTGTGGATATTTAATTGATGGCAACATGGGGTTAGGAACTGTCCCATTATAAATCTAAAGACACTGGACTTCAAGAAAATGATATAGTAGATTGAAAGATCATTTGGCTCAAACTACTGTCTTTTTCAGAATGCAGTCTTATGAGCTGCAACATCTGTGCATCTTGCTCATTTACAGTCTATTTGGGCTGTAGAATAACTAATGCTCAGTATACATTTAGTAATTGTTGCTTTATTGTGACTGTATGGCTTTGTAGTCGAGTTTTACAAGTTTGCCTTTTAGGCCTGTTTTAAAGGCCAAAAAGTTTCTAATGGGCAAGGCATCTCTTCCCCCCCCCCCCCACACACACCTTTTAAGATGCCTTGCCAGAAATATTAAACCAAATCATGTTCCATAGTAAGGGATGTTTGCAGTAGTTCAATAACTGTTGATGAGAAAGGCTGTTCTGTGAAACAAGACCAAAATAATGTAGAACTTCTGTACCTGTACATGGCAAAAATTCAGTCAGAAAATAAAGGTTACATTTACTGAATCTCCAGCAGTGCATTGAGTGCCTACTTTTTTTATGAACAGCACACGAGCACTGTTGTAATCCCCAATGAGTGTATAGTGCAGGAGCACCTAGAATTGGAGAAGGGAAAGAGGTTGGTAATTTAAACTGAAGTGGTATGGCAACATAGCCGAGTATTATATAATAGTAATAATAATCTTTACATTTGACATAGCACCTTTTCATGTCATTGAGATGTCTCAAAGTGCTTCATAGAATATATTGCAAAATGTATTGATTGTCCACTTTATTTTGTGAGCAAAACACGGCAGCCAATTGCCTACAGCAGTATTCTACAAAGTCATGGATTTAGTAACCACATTTTATTTTTGAGAGGATCATTAACCCTAGAAAGCGACCTGCCACTCAACCTTGTTCTTACCTACTGTTGAACACTTCCTAATAGTTTCAACAATGGATGGTATTGGCGATTGATGCTGTGGTTTAATGGGAGGTCACTGTACAAACCTCTTAACTGATCTTTCTAGTGTAGGCTAATAAGTGCAGGGAATTACAATACTCACAAACCCTCCAACCATACACTTTCCACCAATAGCAGTCAGGAGTGGAAATCCTAGCAATATTTTTCCCCAGTCCCACAGCTCAGCAGAGGACAGATTGAATACAAAACCTGATTGCAGGGTTCAGTATTAAACAACCAAAACTCCCACCAGACATTGGCAAGCAAATAGACCGTTCTCTCACTCAAATGCAATAAACACTCCCAAGTCTTGACAGAATTAAAATAAAAATTCACGACACTGAACACTTCATTACATTCAATTATATTTTCCATTAAAACCAAAACAGAATTCTCCCAACAAAAGTCCAAATGATCAGTATAAATACAGATGGTAGTGTTTTTACATCTGGTAACTAGATTATAATTAACCAGCTCAATTGGTTGATTCATAGAACCAATGCATTACAAGCTATATCAGCTCCAGTGCAATACCTTGTGTTTCCATGATGCACTGCAGTCTTTTGCACATGCAATTTTTTTTAAAAAGCACCTTTATTCAGAGGTACAGTTTCTGTAGTGGAAACCAGTCCGGTGTTACTCCTACAAAGTGCAGACGTCAACTGCAAACATGAATTACCATCATGTAAAATAAAAGTACAAAATCCATGTTCCTTTTGGAAGGAAGGAACATGGATTTTGTACTTTTATTTTACATGATGGTGACTGATCCCAGCTCATGTTTTCCGTAATTCATAACAGATGCATTCACTGCAATAATTGCAGAATAATTGCACAAATACATTCATCCAGCAAGTACCTCGCTCATTTATAGTCATCTTGATATATTTCCAGTGCATTTGACAGATTGTTTTGCTTGTTGAAAGAACTCTAAACTTTGAAATAGTTGTTTCTTATAATATCTGGTTAGAATTTGATAACCAAAGGAGCTGATAACTTCAGGTTCTAACTTAAGATCAGCTAAATAGGTTTTTACTTAAGATCAGCTTCATCAACCATGAATCGGATACCAGTGGAAACTGACTATGACAAAGTTGAGAGTGATTAAGTAGACACACATAAGGCTGCTATAGACTGGAAGATCTAGTCACAGCATCAAACACTGGAAAGTGAGAGGGAGATTTTATATCAGAAGACAACTGAAACATTTGCAGCAGTAACATCAACTCATCACCAACTTCAGATGATGCACGGAGGTAGGTGTAGTCCAAGGGAACTTATTCTATGCAGCAATCAACTGCCCCAAGGTCAAAAGCATTTTCCAATGTGTAACTGCACATTGCTATCTCTTTTTCCAGTCAGTGATAATGAATTGCTGAATAACAGTGTAGCAACAATATGGAAGCAAATTTCCTTTAAACATTTTTAAATCATTCTCAGGAGATCAAGAGGAATGGAATTCAATTCTCAATCCGGTCTGAAATCTATTTTCTCTTACACAGGAAAGAAGCCTATGTTGGACAAAGGGGTGGAACTAGAAATGGCAACACCAACAGAGTAGAGTGTACATGTGCTGGAGCCTCCAAAAGCAACTACTGTAAAAATAGTGTGGCAATTTCAGTGTATTAAAACTGTGTTGCATTTTTCATTCATTTTCTTTCTTGCACTCTCAACTCCATTCACCTTCTTTCTGTCACCTGTAATACATCCACTCAGTACACTCAAGTCACCATAGTAACTTGGCAGAAATGTCAATTTTAAATGAGCATTGGCATTCAGATAGTGGCAAGCCATCAGCTAACCACTGCATTCACCATGTAGCTCTATACCAGGGATGGAAACAGTTTGTCAGTCAACAAAATAAATGTTCTTGATTGAACATTTCCTGATTGATGCCTAAGTCTAGGTAATTATGATATAAAACATACTCATCTAGACTAGCGCGAATGTTTGGCCAACACTGCTCTAAACACTTCAAGTTTTATTGATTTGGATTACATTTGTTCCTGCAAACATTACAATGAATGCAGAAGGTATCAATCACGAGTGAACCTTGTCCTTGGAAAACAGCCTTGGGTCTGGTCTATCATCACTGGGAGTTCATCAAGGACACCTTTTTTAAAAACAGATTAAGTTAACTTAAATAAAATAACCCATCAACATCGTTCAAAATGCTGTGCAAAACGCCTAGTATCTCCAAGAGCTGATCCCAGGAGCTGGATTTCAACTTGTTATACAGCGGTGCAGTTCAGAATCTTACACAAATATTCATGATGATTTTTCTTTTCGACAGCTGCAGTACAAGAAAAGCACAAACTCTATCTGTGGCAATACAATGCTCCAAATGTGAACAAATTTGAGTTTCTTTAAGGTGCTAATGGAATCAGGTTCATTTGTGGTTCAAAACTATTACAAAACCAGCATTGTCCCCACTAAATGGACACTATAGCAACATTGCTCCATGTACAATGCAGCTGCCATCCTGGGCACACCTACGATCCTGACATCCTTTGGTTAGTGACAATCAGTGCTATTCTATTCAGCGGGCACAATTCCTGAGAAATGGATTGGAAAGAATCCCTTCCTGGCTTCCGTTAACAAGGGCTCAGAATGCAAGCTGACATTCTGTTTGAAAGCACTCAGAACAGATTCAGGTACCAAACCAGCACAACAGAGCAGTGTGTTCTTCTAAACCAGCTGCCGAGTATCAGGCATCAAACTAAGTGCGCAGGCAACATTCAGGCTAAGCAGTGATACCACCTACTGGGAAGGTTAACAAAACCATTTGTTTTAAAACTGTGACAAAGGCGTAGCTGGTATATTCTGGGTAAGACATCTCTGCTTGGCTCAGAGAATATTCCTGGCCTCGCTGCCGCTTCTAAATGTGAAATGAAGGCAAAAAAATGAATAATTTTCACAAAATCCAAATTAAAGGCAAAAGATGATGTTGATCATGCAGAAAACCTCGACAATAGTCTAAAAAATAAAACAAATAGCAGAAATATAACAGTGCATCGGGGTCTGGCTAGATTTCACAGCCTGTCCGGAGATGTGCTGATAGTGGTAACCCAGCAGCGAAAAAAAAGTCACTTCAATCCAAGGACAGGTCACTCGGAGACCTCAACATCCACATTAGCTGTTCCAACTCACACAGATCGATGACACGACATTCCTGCCACCTTGTGAGGAAGGCGTTTCAGTCCAGTTGTGTAAAAATATTCTTAAAATTCCATCCAATATAATTCCATCCCGGCAGCTTGGTTATTGGTGACAACAGCTGAACAAATAGGATTTCTTTTTCTCAGTCAGATTCACACCTTTATCTTCTAAAAGCAAACAACAGTTAGAACCTGTAACTCAATGAGCGCACCATTGTACCACAACCCTGGACCCTACAACACCTGCTAAGAAACCAATTCCATCCATTTACCTGTCATCACCTGGAATGCCGTTACATTCACATAATCCTCTGCCACCACCTGGAAGAGTTCATCTGTAATGAGAGCAATGGGATCAGATCATTATTTGAAGATTTCTGGAGACACCATCACACTCGCCCATTTCCTATGTAGGAGTGCACAGGACCAGAAGACATTATTTACCAGTCAATGTTTGCTAGTGACATATATCATGGATTTACAGATATTGGTATCACAGTACACATAGTGTGAGCAGCCCTGAGACAGAGAGAAGGTGGAATCTCACCAACATTTTGGCCAGTCTTACTGGAGGTTTCAAACAACTTGGCTTTGATCTCTGAAAAATAAATGACAAAGAGCGTGTTTAACACAGAAGTGAAAAGCCAAAGTCACCCAGACCACAAGCTTCTACAGGAACAAGCTCTAGGTTATGACCACAGAACTTGCCATCCTTGCAGCATATGAAGGAATGTGGCAATTAGAGCTTACTATACACTAGCACTAATGTAGAGTTGCATCACATGTCTCGTGAAATTAACCTTCTTACCAGAGGAGCAGTGGAATATTTGGATGGATTCTGAGGTGAACAAGTCACAGACTTGCCATCACCTGACGGATGCTCCAACAAAGGGAATAACATTTAAATACAGTTCACTACAGATGGAATTCATTTCATGTCATAGTGACTTGCTCAGCTCCAAAGTTTAATCAAGAATGCAAAACGTGCAAAGGTTCAGTGCACAACTCCTCTGCAGAGAGAATCTCTGGTCTAGTTTTCATTTGGCCAGCCGGGTGTCTAACAGGTGTGGAAACCCAGCAACATGCTTGAAAATATCCAAAGCAGACATAGTTCCATGCATGCCACCTACAAACAGAAATGAGTCTGGTCTGAATTACCCAATTTCTGCCACAGCTCGCTGGACAGGTGCCACAATCACTATCAGTAAAGAAAGTTCTGAGTTGCTCTGACCCAGTAGTTTTACACCATGGTATCCAACAGGCCTCACCGTCTGTGTAATCCTGAACATCGTGGTAATCGACCTGACGCAAACTGCGATCACTCTGTACAAGGTCACTCTTTGTTCCACACAAATAGATTTTACAGTGCTGTAGAAGAGAAGGATCTGTAACCCACAGTTCAAATTCCAAACCCCAGCCTACAACCCATTGTGCAAGTGCACTACTTCAGCCCACAACCCAGTGTAAATCCACTTCCCTGTAATGCAGGGCGTAAATCTACTACTTGTTTGTCCAGCAGGGCAGGGTCACCTGTACAACAGCAAGAATTAACTGTTTATTCAGAGAAGATAACAGACAAAACCAATCACTGGTTTCTGCACCAAGAATCACCTCTTCGCAGCTCTGGACTTCATTCACCCAGAATTTAGCTCTTGCAAAACTGCTGCTGTCAGTCAGATCTGGAAGAGATAAAGATTATTACATGATGCTAGAAAGTGATGTTAGTTCCCCCGACTGCCGATTCAGGTGAAGGGGCAGGTACAATCAAAAACATTGGTGTTTCAGTGGACTTTTGGTGGACTTAAAGATATTTGTGTGTGTGTGTATGTAGGGAGGAAGGAGCAGAGGGAGGATATTCCAGTGGCTGGTGGCATACACTGAGTTAACCAAGTGAAATTAGCAGAAGATCGGGAGGTGCTAGGAAGCAAACAAATTTAGGTGAGGACATTGAAGTTGATCTGTTGGGAGGGAGGCAGACTCACGGGGGTGATGGGCATGTAGAGTTTTGTATGAGCCAGAGCTTGTGTAGGTGTTGGAATGTAGGAGACCATTGAGGAATGTGGTCATAACACACAGCACAAACTCTCTTACCAAAGCACACGACAGCAGCCCGGGCACCTCGGTAGTAGATTCTACTCATGGACTCGTAGCGTTCTGACCCTGCGGTGTCCTAATAGAACAACAGAACTAACTTAAAAAAAGCTACAATACCCAGCGGGCTACAATATGGGAACCCCAGAAAATTGTTCCACCCTATTGCTGGCCCAGTTGAAAAACAGCCATAAAAACACAACTCACCCAGATGCCAAGTGTGATCGCTTTCTCGCCAACATGAATGAGTTTGGCTACAAATGCAGCGCCAATGGTCTGAAACAATAAGCATAGGGGCAGCGGGTTAAATAGGGGTCTGGTCAGAGGCAACCTCCTGCAAAGTGCAGATTAGTTCAGTTTGTCAAATAATAATAATCCTTGCATTTGATATAGTGCTTTTCACGTCTTCTAGACGTCTCAAATATCACGACACAGAATATACTGTAAAGTGAATTGACTATATTTGTGAGCGAAACGTGCAGCCAGTTGCACACAGCAGCGTCCTACAAACAGTCGTGGATTGAGTGACCAAATTATTTTTTTGTTTGTTTTTTTAGGGAAGCAGCAGCTGTTGGGAATTGTACTCACGTTCTGATAGGGTCCATTGAGAAACCGATTGTGAACGTATCTCTCCACCAGGCTGGTCTTCCCTACAAACTCCTTCCCCAGCATCACCACCTTCACATCCACGCGCTGCCCGCTCATTCTCGCAACCACTGGCGTCCCAAGTCCGCCGTTAGGTGCAGTATACAGAGGCTATTCACAGCAGTTAAACACGTGAGCTACAAAAAGGACAAGTAACAAGCAGTTAATGCGATGCAGAGCAACTCACCAGCAGCCACAACAATGGAATTAACACCAATCCACTTTCCTGCCAGTCACAGAAGTATTACTAATTAACACACATTACCACGCAATGCAAGGTTTTTTTTGTTAAAAGACAACTTTCTCCATTCTGCAAATAAGGTTGTCTTTTTACATATTAAGAGCAAATCTCACTCGAGGCCCCAGAGAGAACTACTTTCTTTATGACAGACAGAAATAAACAATGAAAATTACTCAGCTTTTCACCACCTCACTCAGAAGTGAGGAATTGTTTCAAGGGGCTTCTGGAAATAGAATTGTATAAAATTAATCATTTTAAGAATATTATCCCAAACTACTTCCCGAAACTTGCCACTTCACACATTTCCTTGCAAACGGTGAATCAGAAATCCTTCTCATACACATGGTATGCTGCCTCTCTGAGGCAAGGGTGCATGACGTCACGGAACAGGTGCAAAATATACGACAGGGAAGGGGAAAATTAGGAAGTTGTGGTCCATGTCGGGATCCATGATGTAGGTGATAAAAGAGCTAAAGAGCAGGACCTCAATGGTGATGATCTCGGGGTTACTCCCAATGCCTTATCCAAGTGAATACCAAACCGGGAGGATCAAACACATGAATGCCTGGCTGGAGAACTGGTGCAGGAAGCAGGGCTTCAGGTTTCTAAACCACTGGGACCACTTCTGGAGCAGATGGGAACTGTACATGAGGGATGGGTTACATCTGAGCAGGGCTGGGGCCAACAAGGATAACAAATGCTGTGGGGAAGCGTTTAAACTGATTTTAAGGGGGGATGGGGATCAGAATGTAGCATCAGGGAGGGGAAACGAGTTACACAGTGGACGAGGAGACAAATAGAAATGAAATAAGGAACAGTCCAGCAAAAAGTGCAAAGAGACAGGGGAGAAATGTAGAGCGGATCAAGTCGGTCTTGGAGATCTTGACCAATAAGCTTGGTGAGCTGCAGCTCAAGTTGCCACATGGGGCTATGATGTAGTGGCAATTACAGAGACTTGGCTCAAGCAAGGACAGGAATGGGAGCTGAATATTCAGGGTGGGGAAAAAAGGAGGAGGGGTGGCAATACTCATTAGGGACACGGTCACGGTCCGAAAACTGAACCTATTTGATTAGAGCAGAAAAGGAGCTGTCACTCTGTTAGGTATTTACTGTAGACCTTGAAATAGTGGGAAGGAGATAGATGAGCAAATCTGCAAGCAGATTTCAGGGCGATGCAAAACCAATAGAGTAGTGATACCACCTACCATCGGTGGCCGGGCCTTCAGCCTCTCAGCCCCGAGGCTCTGGAACTCTATCCCCCAGTGCCTTCGCCGCCTCCTCCCTTTCCTCCTTCAAGGCCGGTCTCAAGACCTTTCTCTTTGACCGAGCCTTCAGCTTCCCTCTCGACTCTCTACCCCCTCCTCGCTCCCTCCCTTCCCTCCCCCTGACCTTTTCCCCGCTGCTCGGGTCCTGACCCAACTGTACAGCGCCTTGGGACGTCCTCCCGACGTGAAAGGCGCTCTATAAATGGAATCTTGTTGTTGTTGTTGATAATGGGGGATTTCAATTGGATAATTTAACATAGACTGGGAAACACACAGTGTAAAGGGCAAGTAAGGGGAGGAATTCCTGAAATCTATGCAGGAGAACTTTCTGGATCAGCATGTTTCCAGCCCAACAAGGAAGGAAGCAGTGCTGGATTTAGTTCTGGGAAATGAAATGGGACAAGTGGAGCAGGTTTCAGTAGAACAGCATCTCAATAACAATGATAACAATATCATTACGTTTAGAATAGTTATGGAAAAGGAAACCATCAATCAAATGTAAAGACCCTCAACTGGAAGCGGGCTAATTTCAGTGAGCTAAAAAGGGACCTGGCCAAGACAGATTGGAAAGAAAGATTGGCTGGTAAGACAGCAAACGAATAATGGGAAGCGTTCAAGGAGGAGATAGTTGGGGGACAGAGCAAATACATTCCCACAAAGGGGAAAGGTAGGACAGTCAAACCTCCCTGGATGACTAAGGAAATTGGGATTAAAATAAAACAGAAAAAGGAGACTTATAACAAGTGTCAGGTCCAAAACACACAGGATAATCAAATAGAATATAGGAAATACAGAGGAGAAGTGAAAAGGGAATAAGAAGGACGAAGAGATTGTATGAGAAAAGATTAGTAGGAAACATAAAAAGGAACCCTTCTTGTTGAGGCAGAGGGCATGGCTGATGTACTAAATAAGTACTTTGCTACTGTCTTCACAAAAGAAGACGATGCAACCAATGCCACAATATCGCAGGCGTGTGAACAGAAATTGGATATGATAAGAATCGACAGACAGGAGGTACGAAAAAGGTTGTCGGCACTCAACATAAGTCACCTGGTCCGGACGGGATGCATCCTAGGTTACTGAGGGAAACCAGGGTGGAAATAGTGGAAATTGTGGCTCTGGCCACAATCTTTCAATCCTCTTTGGACACCAGGAAGGACTGGAAGGTTGCAAATGTTACTTCCCTGTACGAAAAGGGGCAGAAGGATAAACCTGAGAACTTCAGGCCAATCAGCCTAACATCAGTAGTTGGGAAACTTCTGGAGACTATAATCCGAGACAATATAAATTCTCACTTCGAATAATATGGTTTAATAAAGGGGGCGGCGGGGGGGGCAAAGGGAGCCGGAGGGGGGAGGGTGCAAAGGGAGCCGTGGGGGGGGGGGGGGGGGACAAAGGGAGCCGGGGGGGGGGGGGGCAAAGGGAGCCGGGGGGGGGGGGGGGCAAAGGGAGGGGGGGGGGGGCAAAGGGATCGGGGGGGGGGGCAAAGGATCGGGGGGGGGGGGGGGGCAAAAGGATCGGGGGGGGGGGGGGCAAAGGATCGTGGGGGGGGGGGGGCAAAAGGATCGGGGGGGGGGGGCAAAGGATCGGGGGGGGGGGCAAAAGGATCGGGGGGGGGGGGCAAAAGGATCGGGGGGGGCAAAGGATGGGGGGGGGGGCAAAAGGATCGGGGGGGGCAAAAGGATCGGGGGGGGGCAAAAGGATCGGGGGGGGGGGGCAAAGGATCGGGGGGGGGGGCAAAGGATCGGGGGGGGCAAAGGATCGGGGGGGGGGCAAAAGGATCGGGGGGGGGGCAAAGGGATCGTGTGTGTATCTGCCTGTGTGTGTGTGTGTGCCTGCCTCTGTGTGTCTGAGTGTGTGTCTGCCTGTCTGTGTGTGTGTGTCTGCCTGCCTGTGTGTGTGTGCCTGTCTGTGTGTCTGTGTGTGTGTGTGTTTCTGCCTGCCTGTCTGTGTGTTTCTGCCTGCCTGTCTGTGTGTGTCTGCCTGTGTGTGTCTGCCTGTGTGTGTGTCTGCCTGCGTGTGTGTGTGTGTCTGCCTGTGTGCGTGTGTGTGTGTCTGTCTGTGTGCATGTGTCTGCCTGTCTGTGTGTGTGTGTCTGCCTGCCTGTGTGTGTGTCTGCCTGTGTGTGTCTGCCTGTCTGCCTGTGTGTGTCTGCCTGTCTGTGTGTGTGTGTGTCTGCCTGTCTGTGTGTGTGTGTCTGCCTGTGTGCGTGTGTGTGTCTGCCTGTGTGCGTGTGTGTTCTGCCTGGCTGTGTGCCTGCCTGTCTGTGTGTGTCTGCCTGTGTGTGTCTGCCTGTGTGTGTCTGCCTGCCTGTGTGTGTCTGCCTGTCTGTGTGCGTGTGTGTGTCTGCCTGTCTGTGTGCGTGTGTGTGTCTGCCTGTGTGCGTGTGTGTGTCTGCCTGTGTGCGTGTGTGTGTCTGCCTGTGTGCGTGTGTGTGTCTGCCTGTCTGTGTGTCTGCCTGCCTGTGTGTGTCTGCCTGCCTGTGTGTGTCTGCCTGTCTGTGTGTGTCTGCCTGCCTGTGTGTGTCTGCCTGCCTGTGTGTGTCTGCCTGCCTGTGTGTGTCTGCCTGCCTGTGTGTGTCTGCCTGCCTGTGTGTGTCTGCCTGTCTGTGTGTGTCTGCCTGTCTGTGTGTGTCTGCCTGTCTGTGTGTGTCTGCCTGTCTGTGTGTGTCTGCCTGTCTGTGTGTGTCTGCCTGTCTGTGTGTGTGTCTGCCTGTGTGTGTGTGTGCGTCTGTCTGTCTGTGTGGGTGTGTGTGTGTCTGCCTTTTGGGTGTGTGTGTGTGTGTGTGTGTCTGCCTGTGTGCGTGTGTGTGTGTGTGTGTCTGTCTGTGTGCATGTGTCTGCCTGTCTGTGTGTGTGTGTCTGCCTGCCTGTGTGTGTGTGTCTGCCTGCCTGTGTGTGTGTGTGTGCCTGCCTGTCTGTGTGTATGTGTCTGCCTGTCTGTGTGTGTGTGTGTGTGTGTGACTGCCTGTGTGTGTCTGCCTGTGTGTGTCTGCCTGTGTGTGTCTGCCTGTGCGTGTGTGTGTGTGTGTGTCTGCCTGTGTGTGTGTGTGTGTGCCTGTGTGTGTGAGTCTACCTGTCGTGTGTATGTGTGTCTGCCTGTGTGTGTGTGTCTGCCTGTGTGTGTGTGTCTGCCTGTGTGTGTGTGTCTGCCTGTGTGTCTGCCTGCCTGTGTGTCTGCCTGCCTGTGTGCCTGCCTGTCTGTGTGTGTGTGCCTGCCTGTCTGTGTGTGTGTGTCTGCCTGTCTGTGTGTGTGTGTGTGCCTGTCTGTGTGTGTGTGTGTGCCTGTCTGTGTGTGTGTGCCTGTCTGTGTGTGTGTGTCTGCCTGTCTGTGTGTGTGTGTGCATGTGTGTGTCTGTGTGTCTGCCTGTCTGTGTGTGTGTGTTTCTGCCTGTCTGTGTGTGTCTACCTGTCGTGTGTGTGGTGTGACTGCCTGTCTCTCTGTGTGTGTCTGCCTGTGGGTGTGTGTGTCTGCTTATGTGTATCTGTGTCTGCCTGTGCCTGTGTGTCTGCCTGTGCCTGTGTGTGTCTGCCTGA